AACTTCTGGGTTTAACGGAGAGAGAAGACGAGAGGGAAGACGAGAATGAAGACTTCTGGGTTTAACAGGTTTATATCTTCTTCTTTTTCCCTCTCTTTCTTTCTTCAACGGGTTAGTCCGGTTTAATTAGCATCCGTTTGGTTCTGTTTAACCATACATAATTTAAACAATTATAGGATCCGTTTGGTCCGGTTAACATAACTCTCACTGACTCCAATAATCTACAAGATCCTTTTGGTTCGGTTTAGTCCGGTTTACTGAACCTCACTTTAATTATTAATTACAATTGTTTAAGAACTATTTACAAGCACAAAATCCAAAGCCTAAAGGAATACACACAAAGAGTAAACACAGTTTCTCTTCAACGAACACTGATTACAAACAGAGACAAATTCAAGATTCACAATAAAACAAAACTACCCACCAATCAAATCATTGGCGATTGGAAGCAAGCATATTGGTCTTTCCTTGAGAGCCAAGTCACATAGAATAAGCTCCTTCGTGGCTGCAGAATCAGCTTAAAGCCTCCTCCTGAGAATATGAACATTTGTATGTCTTTTGTTTAGTCCCCTATGTTGTTTCCTCTAAGAATTGAACATCTCTTGTCTCCGATGATCGAAACAATGGGAGTTTGGATTATAATTGCTTAGATATTATAGGGCTTGAAGCCAAAAACTCTGTTTCTTGTGATACAAGTTTTTTATCTGTTCTATAGTAACTCATTATGTTGCCAACTTGGTCTGCATTTCTTTGTCTAAGTAGAGAATTGCTAAGAAAACAAGCAGAAGAACCCAAATTAGTACACAAGTAGGGGTTGTAATGTTCATTCGTTTGTTTGGGAACTTTTTCTCTTTAGTAGAGATTACTTGAGAACTTTTGTTCTTTGTTATCTTGAGAACTAAAGACAGTTTCGTTCATTGATCTTATCATAAACTCAGCAATCATAAACTCAGCAAGACAGTAAATTCTATGATCTTTTTAAGTACAGACAAGTTCAAAGAATCAAGTAAACACACAATTTTACACTAGAGGTCTTCAACGAAAAAAAAGATTACAAACAGGGATGATCCAAGATTCAC